ATATTCAAAATATTCCTGGTCTTACAAGGAATCCAGCAATGTCAATTATATTATCCTAACTTTAGTTTGAGGAATTATTTATTACTATACCTGGTTTTCCCCAAAAATTTCTCAGAGGAAGAGCCAGCAGTGTAGTGTGAGAAGAGGGAGGGAGTTGAGTCCATTATTTGAATGGACATTAACTTAGCGACTGTATTTCTCATTTCTTAAGTATTAATTGTGTGCATGTACCATCATAAAATTAAGATGTTATTTTTACTACAACATAGTTATTTGTCGCAAAAGTGGAGTTTGGGGTCGGGCTGGGTTCTATTGGAATTAATCCCATATGTTCTGTTATTCACTTAACGCGGTTTTCACTTAATGCGGACCCTCTGGTTCAATTGATCATAAGTAGGGGTACAACTGTACAGCTATACCTTTAATACAGCTAAAACCTGGCTCACCCTTTTGTTTGTTCTATCTGTAATTTCTTCAAAATAATCGTCTCATCCACATTAAACACCTGTTCTGGCAGGTAACCCTCAGTGATGATGTTTGTATCTCTGAAAGTTTGTAAGTTGAGCTTCTTAAGTAGAGGAGCACCTGTATAGTGATGTTTCCTTATTATTTCACACTATTATACTTAACAATATTATAAATCTCTGGCTAATAATAGGGACGGAAAGATAAATAATGATAGGCAAATGAGTTTTTATTATTTCATTTGGGGGGGTGTAAGACGAGTGTTTTTGGTGATCATTAACTTGTTTTACAGTATTAGTCCATAATAATAAGAAAATTTGGCAGAAAAATGCTGTTATTGTTGGTTTGAAGATCAAACAACCATACATGACGGGTAGTTATTCTCATTTAACTCGCGATAAAATAATAACTATTCACAGAACTGACTTCCAGTTTTCACAGTTCGCTAGGAGAGGGTTTGAGCTGCATGATCAAAAAAACCCTAGTTTAAAAACAACAAAGTTATGGTTGTTTGAACTTCAAATAACTTTAAATAAATTTTTCTCCGCTTTTTAAATTTGGCGCTTCATCCTCTTCTAATGCTGAGCGCATTGAATGTATCACACACACACACACACACACACACACACACACACACACACACACACACACACACACACACACACACACACACACACACACACACACACACACACACACACACACACACACACACACACACGCACACACACGCACGCACGCACACACACACACACACACACACACAAACACACACACATATATATACTTGTCAACCGCCGGAGACAAGACGTGTCTTAGCCCTTAAGGCGCCCCGGGTTTAGCAGCCAGGCTGAGCGCTCCGTTATATCCCAACGCCTCTACCAGCCTTACTGCTACACCGGATCTATTCAGCAAAAACATTCTAGTGATTAGTGAACGATTGATTAATGAAAGCAGTGTTCCTATAGTGCACTTAAGGAAAAGTACAGCAGTGTAATACTGACTGTGACTGGACCCGATCTAACCTGACCGACTTCTTTCAGCAAAACATTCAAGTCATCAGTGCGAATAATAAGCAATTATCATACAGTGTCCGATAGTGCACCCTGGCGAAAAGTCAGACAGTGGGCACTTTATTGGTCACCTTCAAAGCAAAGCCAGTGACAAGGACCATCGCGGGTGTTTATATATATCGGAAAACTATGTCGGCGTAATCTCTAAGCATTGTAATAAAGACCCACGGCTCCCACGACTGACAATATTAACAGATATCTACTCAGTGTCAGTGGCCCCTCAGCGCCGCCAGCGATTCTGGCATACCGAGACAAAACACTCAACCGCCCACATCAGATATCAACAGATGCGCCAGCTCAATCACTCACTCCCCGACAAGACTCTGTACCATCTAAAGCGTGGGGGAACTGCTATCCTGGTGGCAGTGTTATCGCCATGACGTAAGTCACTGAACATATTCCACGCCAACAGAAGCTGTAGACAAGGCCATACACATAAGCTTCCATTAGACCAGAAATCGCATTAGGAAACCGGAGAAACCCACCCCCTGACAGAGACCGTATTCACTACACTGAAGTTCCACAGATATGGCATGATCTCCGCCTACTGCTATCAAACGCCACTTCCCTAGCTAACAAATTTGACTATTGGTAACTACAGTCAGGGTCAGCCGAGCGCCGCTGCCATATGAGGCTTGGCAAATTGTGCCTGAAACGGGTTATATTGAGGGATTATCAACCCTTTTCATCACCTCTATCCACAGGGCACGGAGGGGCAGCGTTCTCTTCTGTCAACATGACCTATGTTCACACGCCCTGGATGCGAAGTCCCAGCAGAGAAGCCATTATGGGTACGTGTTGTGCCACGGGCCCACCCGCCACACACTGCTTCCCATCATAATCTGTGTGGCATACCATCCGCCGCTTTCACCCACCAGAGACACCATCGATCATCTCATTACCACCTCAGACCACCTCAGAGTTAGGTACCATGTGCCAAGTTAGTATTATGTGGGGATTATAATGAAATTGACACCACTGATATCCAGGACCAGCTTATCACTATCACAAGTTGTGAATCACACACGGCCCAAACACACTTTGACCTTATCTTTGACTGACTGATGACTGCCAGGCAATTAACCACACTCAACTAATGCTCTATCGGGTGTGAAGCACACACTTATCAGTGCTTCAGTCCCCACACCACTCAAGTACAGAGACCCTACATCACATTCCACAGGCCGACATCGACTCTGAAAAGCGCCGCGTGATAGTCGTTCACCATCCATGTGGACTGAAGTACTTAGTGCGGATGACGTGGAAACCAAATGGATAAATTATACCAACACCACCACGGAAGTTCACTCACCACTCTTCCTCAGAAGTCCGGCCAGATCTCACCCAGTTGACTTGCCCTGGATCACACCGGATCAAAAGACTTATGCAATGAGACAGAGCCATCTCAATGACCACATCCGCTACAGGTCCTTTGGTAAACCCAGTCATCCGCAAATACGCACTGCAAAGAAGTCCCACTACCCAACCAAATTACAACACCTGAAGCAGATCAACATCAAGTCAATGAAGTGGTAAGCTTAAAGAACTCTAGGACTAAACAACAATAAGAAACACCCTCCCCTTCCTTAGCCACATCTCTGCCAAATGTTGACGCAGCTGAGCAATCAAATAACCATTTTCACATTATATGCCAGACGCCTCCCTGGCTTAACACAACCACTCTCCCTGCTTACCTACCAGCCCCCTTCCCACTGACTTAGTAGGAAAAATTCTGAAGTACCCAAAACGCCTGGACAAACTAAAATTAAAATGCTCTACCATTTCATTGACTTACCAATGAAACTCTTCTGGCGAGCTTTTCCCTTAGCTTGTTAAACCCCTATGCTCCATCATCAGTCAAGCCAGATGCCCAGCTGACTGGAAGACCTCTTATGTATCAACACCAGTGCCCAAGTCAACCAGCCCACAATCCTTAAACCAGCTATATTCCATTGCAATCAATTCCCCAATACCCAGCCTCCAATCTGTGAAAGTTTTCAGGTTCGACTGGGCTTATGCTGATATTGCAAGGAGTTGTAGACCGTTAAGTACAGGAAAACTTCCTCCACCACCTTCACCGTCTTGTCAGCTTTCTTGATTACATATACCGCCATCTCGAGAAACGAAAAACGTTCTTGTAGCTGCCGCCTCATTGATTTCACTTAAAGCATTCGACCGAGCTGATTCACATAATCATCAACAGCTTATTGACCTCGCTCGAGAAGTTCTATACCATGGCCATAGACTTCCTCAGTGACCGACGCCAAGCTGTACGCTTCCGAGGGGCTGTCTCCACCTTTCAGTCACTCACCTGTGGCGTCCCCCAAGGCACCAAGATGGGACCACTCTGCTTCCTTATGCTTATCAATGATGCCCTAAGAGAAACCCCCTGCTCGCTGGAAATATGTCGACGACTCCACCATTGGGATCAGCGTCAACAATTCTGCTCCCGACTATACCGCCCTTCAGGATTTATTGAACAGTCTCCAAAACTGGGCCACCAACAACCATGTCACCATCAACCATACCAAGACCATGGTTATGCACATCAACCTCTCCTCCGACATTGTTCCACCTCCTTCCATTACTCTAGGTCCGAACACACTCCAGGTTGTAGATTCTACGAAGCTCCTCGGCGTCACCATAGACAACAAACTAAATTGGAAACCACACGTCAGTGAAGTTGTCAAATCCTCCAGTTTCCGTCTCCACCTCCTCCGCCGACTCAAGTTCTCGGAGTTCCTGCACCTGAGCTCCTGCAAGCTTACACAACATTCATACTCCCAAGTCACCCATATGCCTCCCCTACCTGGTCTTCCTCCCTAAATGCCACACAATGTAAACACCTAGAAAAAGTGCAAAAGAGGGCATGCAAGATTATTCTCTCCCCTTCCTACTCCACATATCAAGAAGCGCCCAACACACTGACCCTTTCGACTCTCACTGACCATCACCACGACCTCATCTGCAAATTTGGTAAGAAACTTCTACACCATCCCCGACACCGGGTCCTACTACCACCTGAGATCCCTAGCCTGAGAATTGCTGTTCGACACCACAACCGCATCCAGCCCATACGTGCACGAACTGAATGCTATCAGAACAGCCCAGTCCCAACCATTGTAAAAATTATCAATAACTTGTAAGAAACCAGTGTATTCACTCCCAGTAAATACTACTTCTTGCACTGTCACTATGTTGAAATGCCCTGTAGTTTGAGCTTTTCCCCATCTAGTTATTATATATCTTATTTGTATCACTTATGTTACTTGTATATTATTTGTAATTCGAAACCCATTCCCCAAATATGTAACTGTATATTTTTAGCCTTCTGGCTGCCAAGCTCTTTCAATAAACCATTAATTATTATTATTATTATTATTACACACAAATAATATATATATATTTAGTTGTGTGAAAAAAGATTAAAGAAAGTATATTATCATAAGTTTTCTTTTACAGAAAAGTTGCATACTACTCCCACAAGGAAAGAACGGCTATCCTTGATTACATCAGCAAAACGAAGAGGTTCAAGGACATAAAAGGCAGATTGCTTTGGCAGGATATGGCAGAGGCCCAGGTAATACTACACCTCTTACTGCAGTACCTGTTCCTGTTATAACACATGAACCATCATGATTATTAATACTCTACTTGTTTTATGCAGGTAAACTTCAGATGTAGTTAATGTATGTCTGTCTTATTATGACTCATAGTCATATGAATTTAAACTGACAAAATATTAATCTTAATTTCAGATATGTCCTGGCAGAACATGGCAGTCCTTAAAAGAACATTTTCTTAAGCGCATTATTCCAAACCTCAGGCACACTGAGCCATCCGACAAAGTAACAAAGCATATCTACTTCCCGTAAGTACATGTTATAACACTGAGCGACAGTGATGGGAATAAATATACGTACTGTAGTATAGTACATGCTGTATGTATCCTAGGGTAGGAATATGTTATTTATAATGTCGCATCCTTTCCACCACCACCTTTCCAGGGGCAGATCCAGGTATATCAAGGGGGGCAGGGGTGCATTTACATGATGAGCACAGCAAGCCCACCCAGCTGGAGGTTTGTGGGGTGCTGTAAGGCCCCCTCTTTTTTTTTAATCTGATCAATATCATGGGCATTATGATGCCATTTTGAAGCCATGTGCACTTACTATTAGAAGATATTTTGAGGTTAATAGTAATTAATTTCTACTATACAAAAATGACTGAGTACAATACTGCATTATAGAGAAATATTGGATTTTTTTTTATGAAAAGGGAAGGTTCTGGGGAGCCCCTCCCCCCTGATCTGGCCCCTGCTTTCCTAGTCTGTGCTGTGGAGTTAGTAACTCTAGTTATAAGAGCTGCTCTGTATTAAACCTGTGGAAGAGGCATGGAAGCAGGAGTTGTAGAGACAATGATGATGAGATAATTGTACCAATAGCTCCCACTTGTAAACAATACCTATATATAATGTACTCAGTCAAAAGGCACTTAGAGTAAACATTGAGTGTTCAACAGTATAGGTACTGGGAGGGGTCAAAGGCAAACACATAGTAGAATAAAGTATATATTATTAAATACAGTCGGCCCTTAACATACGCGGGGATTAGGTAACAGAGATACCCGTGAATGTTAAAAATCCGTGTACTATTGCTGCCCCCCCAAAAAAAACCCTGGCCCCCCATGTCTTTATTTACTGAATTTACCTGTGTGTAGTTTGCATTTTTAAGACCAAATAATTTGGCAAAAAATTGGGGGTCGACCTCTAAACGGTTAATAGTTTCGTAAGGTTGAAAAATATTTACCCGTAACTACCAGTAAACAATGGAAACGACACACCAACGCACCACCAGCTGTGAGTGTCGGTACAGTTGCCAGGGCAGATCTCTTGCGTCATCATAGCAAGCCCAAAGTAGCCAAATCCATGGTATGGTAGCACAGGACGATGTAAAACATAAAGTATTCATTTTTTAAAGTTTATTTATAGAGACATAAATATTTGTTCCTTACATTTGAAACATCAATCTTTGTTAATTAAATTTGAAACAAAAGAAAACTACGATACCGTATTTCTAAATACCGGGTATTTTCATTAAAATATTACAGCACAAGTATATTTTACCTTAACTGTGACTGAATGAATATATTCTCAGAAATAAATACAGTAGTACCCCGATTTACGCGGTCAATTGAACCCATGGGGTACCACGGAAAGTGAAAACCGCGTAAAGTGAACAACAGAACATATGGGATTAATTCCAATAGAGACTGGCCCGACCCCCAAACTCCACCTTTTCAGACACAATACCTACGTTGTAGTAAAAATTACATCTTAATTTTATGATGGTATGCACACACAATTTATAATTAAGAGAAATATCAATAATATTAGTTTTTTAACACTTACATTAGTAGAAAAGATGGCTGGGCACACAGGGATGGGGGGGTTCCTTCCGAGGCAGAGGGCAGATTATTGGCTCTCACCTGTATCACTTGTATCAATTGTATCACTATCCACCACTTAGGCTTGCAGGGCCTCTTTGTCAAACCCCTCAAAGTCCATATAAGTCCATATCCTCACTATCACTGACTTGGGCCGGCTGTGGTGGGTGGCGGGTGAAGAACTCGGTAATGTTTTGATGAATGGGCGACCTTGTGCGCATCCTGCCCGCGCCGCTTCCCACGTATATGAGTAGATGCACCGCGTAAAGTGAAAGTCCGGTTCTGGCGAGGTACTCGTTTTTTTTAATAGTTTTTCGTTAAAATATTGTTATATTACAATGGTATTCTATTCATACTGTGCTTGATATAATGCATTCACGAAAATGAAATTTTTGCTGAAATGACGTACGTATTACAGTGGAAAGTGGGATAAAATCGTGACGAAAACAATGACTTTCGCTTTCTTTCATTCAAAAGATGTTACCGTAATCGCTTTTCGAATGGTTTTCAGTTAAAAAACTGTTGTATTACGAATAATATTCTATCCTAATTGACTTGAATAAATACTACGATACCATATTTCTGAATATTTTCATTAAAATCCATCAAAATCATTTTCCTTGTCATCGTCTGCAGCACCAAACAGCTTCTCCCAGTCCTCTCCTTGAACAGGGCTAGAGGGTACGTGTTTTTCGAATCGTTTTCAGTTAAAAAACTATTACATCACACGTATATTTTACCTAAACTGCACCTGAATGAATATATTCTCGGAAATAAATAGTAGTTTTGCTGAAACGTGATGTATTTCAATGTAAAATAGGATAAAATACATGACGAAAACAAAACACTTTACCTAACCTTCCGATGTTCTTGAGATGTTACTCGTTTTTTTAATAGTTTTCGGTTAAAATTCTGTTATATTACAATGATATTCTATTCATACTGTGCTTGATATAATACATTCACGGAAATGTAATATTTTTGCTAAAATGACGTACGTATTACAGTGGAAAGTGGGATAAAATCGTGACGAAAACAATGACTTTCGCTTTCTTTCGTTCAAAAGATGTTACAGTAATCGCTTTTCGAATGGTTTAGTTAAAAAACTGTTGTATTACTATAATATTCCCTCCTAATTGACTCGAATAAATACTTGAATGGAAATATAAAATATTTTTGTTGAAACTACCCGCGTTTCAGTGTAAAGTGTCGTAATAATAAATGGTAAACAATTTGCCTTCGGCACTCGTGTTTCATGCACGGCGAGCCTCAGTTTATAGGACGTAGAGCGTTTTTAGTGAAGGTTTTGTTGTTCCATTACCCTCAAAAACGTGGGTCGAACTATAAACGAGGAATATCATAAATTAACGATTTCTTGGTCAATAAATCAGGTCGACCTATAAACGAGGGGGGTTATAGACGAGTATATACGGTACTGTATACCAGTAATAGAATTAACAAAACATTAAATATAAACTAAATACAGTGCTGTACTGTACAGTATACTGTATAATAATAAATAAAAAAACAATTTACTTTGAGTTGTGAATGTCATATTCACGGATGCTTTGTTTACATATTAAACAGGTGATTGCAGAAGTAGTCGATGATGACATGCCATATTCTTTACAGAGTGCATTGGTTCTAATGCCTTCTTCATGTTTCATAATAATTTCTGCACTGTATATTATCAATATGTTAACTAAATTTCAGAATGACCAATAATTTTAATGTAAAAATGCAAAAATGTTCTAGAGACCAACAGAATTGATGTTTACTCAACTGTAAACACAGTTAACTGAGAAGCGTTGTTGGGTGATTCAATGAGCTGATGGCTGCACAAAAACTGTTCCCTGTACTGTATATATTATCAATATGTTAACTAAATTAGAATGACCAATAATTTTAATATAAATAATGCAAAAATATTCAAGAGACCAACTTTCTTGATATTTACTCCACTGGGAACGAATGTAAACATAGAATCAATAACTTATGACGGGGTTAGGGACCCAAATCCAGGCCATAAGTCGGAAATGCAAAATATAATACATATAGAATCTAAAATGAAATACAGTACAGTGGTCCCTCGGTTAACGAGCACAATCCGTTCTAGAAGGTTGCTCGTTAACCGAAAAACTCGTTAACCGAAACCATCGTTTCAATGGGTTTTTGGGTAATTGGTTCCAGCTCACCGAAAATTGCCTAATTTCAACAAAAAAGGTAGAAAAGTACACTTACTTTGAGGTGTGTATGTAGAAGGCTCCTGGATGATGATGATGGGAATTAGAATGGTGGAGGAGAAGGCATTGGGGTGGAAGAGAAGTCACCCCATGGTGCCATTTCACCCATGAAATATTAGTTCTCTTGGTGCAATTCAAGATTATTTTCTTTAAATCAACACTGCACTGCATTATATATTGTCAATATGTAAAATAAATTTCAAAATGACCAATAATTTGCTTGCAAAAACAGAAAAAAGGCATTTAGTTGAAGAGAGTCTCAAGCAAGATGTTACCTCCACTGAAAAGATACAAAGACTGACGCCTGTATGGTGTGTTGAGAGGCTGGATGGCACGCATAAAACTAGTTTCATTACCTTCAATTATGTTCAATAATTGTTAAAATGGGTAAAAAATTTAATATTAAACTTTTAAAATTATTGAATAGTATAAACTTCTTGATATTTGCTAAAATGGTAAGGAATTTAAGCCCTAGAACCGATTACTGCATTGGCGAACTAATACTACAGCTGGTGGACCGCCAAATGCAAGCGAAATCATGTTCAGTTTGGCTCGTAAGAAACTCGTTAACCGAAGTTAAGAATCTTATGGAAGGCAACTCGTTAACCGAAATCTCGTTAACCAAGGCGCTCATTATCCGAGGGACCACTGTACAGTAAAAGTAGTCAATAATGAAGAATGGATACAGTTTTACTGTGCACACAGGGGCCTCATAATTTTCTATTTACTGGTATACATAGAAACTATATTAATTGGATGAAGCAGAGGAGGAGACAGGGCTGGGTGGGTCATCAATGTCGGTTTCTTCAAACAGGTTTATGTACAGGGGAAACTTGCTGGTTGAAAGTATTGGATCATCTGTAGGGAGTAAAGAGGCAGCACTGGTGGGACGTGAGGAGACGGCAATGGGGAACTTCTTAAAATAGATGTCCAATTTAGACTGCACAGTTTGCTTTTTCTTTTCATTATAAATCTCCCTGTAGCAAGCAAGTGCATCTTGGACCACCAGTCTGTCAACTTTGTCAAAATGCTCATAATTTTGATCCATTCCATCAAACATTTGCATCCCCTTATTAATTGTAGCAAATGCCTCTGCCATTTGCTTCACTGAAAATTTTTTTGGGAGTGCAGGTCCTTCTTCTACATTTATTCTCTTCTTCCTCTGCATTTTTCTGTGCATCCA